GGAATGACGCGGCGTCATTCCACTCCCCTCCCCCTCCCAACGGCTTTATAGCCATTGCACCCCTTTTCAAAAAAAAAATTCTTATAAATTCAAACCCCCCCCTCCCAATCTCTCACATCTTCTCCATCTTCACAAATCTCTCTTTATTACGAAGTACTATATATTCTCTTAAAAATATTTATTATTTATTATAAATATTTATAAAATATAATTTAAAAATGGGTTCATCTTCCGACGATGAAAGAAGAGCTTTATTTTTTCGTTGTTTCGCGACGAATTGTATTCGAGCATATCTTTAGTCGTTCGAATAATTAGTGATTTCTTTGTACTGTTGTTTTTTGTATGTAATTTTTTTAAAAAATAAATGTAATTTTTTTTAATGTTTTTTTTATGAATGTAAGATTTTTTTATAATGAATTTATTTTTTTATGCAATAGTGTCATTGCGATTAATTAAAATAATAAATTAATTTAAATTTATAAATTTAAATTTAGAATATGTATATTTAAAAATGTAAAAAATGAAGGTTTGAAGCCCCAGTTTGAAGCCCCGGGGCTTCAAAACCATTTCCAGTGAATCTTTGGTGTAAGTTAAAGCTGACGTGGCAGAGAGAGAAAGTTTGAAGCCCCGGGGCTTCATGACCATTACCAGTGCTCTTAGAGCGGCGTGAATTTCTCAGCTCCCTCCCCCTAACGGCTTTTTTAGCCGTTGCAGGCCATATTTCAAAAAAAAATTTCCTATAAATTCAACCCTCCCCAACCAATTAATCTCTCACACCTTCTCTTCAATCTCTTCTTCTTTCTTATTTTTAAATTTCAAAATTTAACCCCCCTCCCAATTTTCAACATGAATCCTTCCGGCTCCGGCTTCTTTCCCGACGATCTCCCGCACGTCGACGCCGCGATGTGGTATTACCAAGAGTTGGGCGATCGACCGCCGATGTACGAGACGCAACAGTCGGGGTACGTCGACCGAGATTCGGTTCCAGAGACTCAACCGAAACCGTCCGGATCGAAAAAAAGTACACGCCGGAAAAGCCACAAAGCCAAAAGCACGTTGACCGAGGCGGCACGGTCAATCCAAAAGTGGACGCTGGAGGAGGAGTGCATATTGGCGTCGGCTTGGATTGACGTCTCCGAGCATCCTATCATTGGTTAAAAATTTATTTTTTGTAATATATTTATGTTTTTATTTTTATATATTATATTTAATGGTGTCTAAAAAAATTGTGTAATACATTTTTAAAGGTACGGAGCAAACGAAGGATGCGATGTGGGATCGTATTGAGGAGAAGTTCTTCACGGCGATGAAGAAGGACGGCTCCTACCGAACCCGGGACCAACTCACTTCCAAATGGAGCCACATCAACAAAAAAGTCCGAAAGTTTATGGGAGTTTATGAGGGATGCTCCCGGTCCCGGAGGAGCGGCACGAACGACGCCGATGTTCTCCGGCTTGCCACGACCCGGTATCAATTGAATTTAATATTTATATTTTATTTCAATTTTCCGTTTTATTTTGGGAGAGCAGTCCTATGCTTGGTTTTATATGTTTTGCAGGTATTTTGAGGCCATTTGGACGCATTGAGAACAATTTCAAGAACGGAAAATAAACATGGAAGTTTGGGACCAAAATAAATGGAAGAGATTTGAAGAAAGGAAGGAATTAAACAAAAAAAAGCATAAAACAGCCCTGGGATTCGAACTCTGAACGTAACCGGAGCACTGACCATCGCGCCAAAGCATATTATTCGGCATATTGCTGGCGGACACGGATAATGTTCTTAATTTAAATTCGGCCATGATTTGAGAGAAAAATGACAAAACACCGACACTTGGATGGGGAATCAAACACGGGATCAAGTGGCGAGACAAACAACCTCATTTCCATGTGGGCTACTGTGCCTGTGTTGACAATTGATGCACTGTTTGTATATAATCCGTATATACGGATTCATCTATAAAAACACCTCCCTTCTCTTCTTCTAAAGAGGTTGGAACCCCCATTTTCTTCCTTCTCTCTAGTCCGAAATTATCCTCCTCCATCACTAATATCTCACCACTTTCTTCTTCCAAACACATAAAAATTACTCCATCTTCATCATCATCAACACCATCAATTTTAGTTGGAGCTCAAGAACACATCTTCCATTTTGTAAGATTTTTATTATTGTAATAAATATTTATTTGTTTAAGCTTCAAACTATGAACTTCTAAATTCCATTGGGGTTAGAAGTTGGTGTAATTAATTGTCCATCTTAATGTTTTGAATATTTTAAACATGGATTGTTGATTTTATTTTTACTTAGATGTTGTATTTAAAAATAAATAAATTTGAAATGTTTGTGATTTTTAATTAAGGGCCCAATCATAAACAT